AAAACCGTAAAAATGTGTTATATTGATGATATTAAGTGCCACTTCTGATGTGCTATTTCACTTTCGTACGACTTTTCGCTTTTGAGCTAAACTGTTAATACACACACACACACACAGACCATTTTGTGGGACTTGGTTATTTGAACTCAAAGAACCTCAGAACGTGTATTTTCGTTGAAAGCTGGGATTATAAAATTTTCACGATTGTAGTACTTTCTTCTAATATATATTTTTCATATGTAGATAAGTGAAAGTAAAAAATAGAAGAACCAGCAGATTAACACAACTCAAATAGTGAGATTAAATCCAGTGAGCTTCGTCAAATAAGATTCTAGCAATTTTTCTTTTTTTTTTATTTATTCAACTTGGAATTCAACGATTGAAACCATCGAGCGAAGTCAGCAAGTATCTTTATTCATTGATTAAATCACCGATAAAACATCAGTTCTGTCGGCTATTTGAGTCGATTTAAGTCATTGTAATTTCTGCGGTGCTATTCCTCAATTTCCTACAATTTTTTTTTTTTTTTGTTTTTTCATAACAGTAGAAATATAATTGAATTTTTAACTAATTTATTATACACACAAAACAAAGTATATAATAACTTAGAAATGAAGAACAAGTTAAGAAAATAATTTTTTTTTTCTCGAATCTTAGGGGGCGTTGCCAAGAATCTTCGCACTTTGGTCTAATATTTTTCGACCTAGTATCACCAAAAAAAAGTTCCATGGGAGATGATGATCCCATGCCTATAAACTCTTCTTTTCTTATAAGTAATGTTCAGATAACTGTTTAATGTGGGATTCAAAACATAGGCACCACTACTGCAAAGGAGGGGGGGGGAGCAAGCCACTTTCTGCTCCCCCCCCCCCAATATTTTATATAGGGGGCCAGAGTTTTCTCATTTATTTGTAAATAAATGCATATTATTCGTAATTAAATAATCATCTGATTGGATAAATCAGCTGATTATTTATTTAAAATGAAAGTATTTTAAACTTAGTGAAGAGATATACAAAAATAAAGTTAAATACCACTGTTATTAAAAATTAAAAAGTAATTCCGACTTTCTTATGTATTTATTAACTTCAATAATTATTCATAACATTTTTTTTTTTTAAGTAAACAAAACTTGTATCTTATTTTATACAAAAGCTTTTTATTTATTAATTTTTTCCATTATAATTTATCGTTGTAAAATAATGTCAAGTAAAAACAAATTAACCCTTTTAAAACTTCCTTTATTTATTTTAAAACATCAAACAATATTTCAGACTAATTCGCCCATCTCCAAGTCTGGCTAAAAAATATTGCACATTGTTACTTTGATTTAAGTTAATTCAATAAATAAGAAACTAAACCTAAGAAAAGGAGAAAAAAATAATTTAAAACATACAGAAAATACATTTCTTTACTAATTTAATTACTTAAATTACAGATTTGATGTAAAATAAACATATTTGTAGATGGGCAAATTCATTCGAAATGTTGTGTAATATAAAAAAGTTTTGAAATAGTTAAGATTATTTTTTTTCTGACATTATACAATATATTATTATTATTTCTTTTTTTTTAAAACAGTTTTCCTTTTAACCTAATTTATAAAAAATAAAGATTAATAAAATACTAAAAAAAAATACTGCTTTAAAATTTAATTTAGACTAGGAAGTTTCAATGAATGATTATTGAAAAATGTTATAATATGCCTCTTTTAGGTGATCAATAACAGTTCTAAATGACAATTTCTAAATTACACGATTCTCCCTGCGACACTTAAGGAGACAGCCCTGATGAAGGCCTGAACTTAAGGTCGAAACGTCGGCATATGTAAAAAATAAATATTATCATTTATTTTTGCCTTCCTTTTTGACTGACCACCCCAACTATTCTTCTCTTCATTATCCACGACAGTCAACCAATTACCAATTATGACAATTTCTAAATTTTAACACTTTTAATTATTAATGGAAGATTCTAAAGCCTTAAATTACTCAAAACAAAGATAATAACTACCTAATCAATATGTGACTTATTATTTTTAACTTTTATTTGTTGTAAGTTTTTTTCAAACTATCAATGTAAGATGTGCAATTTATACAACTTTATCTTTATTTATACAACTTTTTCAATCATTACAATGACTAAATTGATGAAACATTGACTCAACAAACAGAAATTACACGATGCAGTTACTTTGAAAACATACGGTATCGAAAATACATATTATTACTACTATTATAAATACTCAATGGTTAAAATATAATGATTGCTCTAAATAAAAAAGTTATGGTACCATTTTTATTACAGCAAGTTTTCAGAAGTTTTTTAGAAGAAGCCAAGGAGGATTTCATAGTAAATTATAGATTGTGAATATCGTATATGGATGAAATGGAGCCAGATTATCCCGAAACATATACACAAAAGTGTATTTCTAAGATCAATTTTGTTATTACCATCAGTTATTAGAAAATTAAGGTTATCTTTACCTTATCAAATGTAAGTGTTTAAACATCCTCTTCATGCATGCATACCACTCGATTTAAATATAAAATATTTCATAAAAAACAATTAAGGTTATTTAATATGCTCCACAAGACATAAAAAATTGTGATAGGTATGCAACTAGGGCAAGGAAGTACTGATGACAACCGTTAATTATCTAGTTCAGATATGATGGTACACTTAAATTGTTAATGTAAAGAATTTTATCAATATTTAAATTGATCAGAGCTTTATTAAAAAATTATAACAATACTATTCTTCAAACATAACATATTTTACTAAAGTTACTCACTATTCTGTTCACAAATCAATTTTATCATATTGTAAAATAATTCCAAGAGATCTAATTAATTAATTGTGTTTATTAATTTAGGTGTGATAAGAGGTATAGAATAAGAAAATTTAAATTTCGCAACAATTTCCCAGACTAATAGAAATAAATTGTTTTGTTTTTCTTTATAGTAACTATAAACAAAATATATAAAACTATCAAATAAGAACAACCATGACGCATAATGACATACATACAAATATATATTATCAAGAAATAACAAAATATTTTTAAACATTTTAGTTCAATAACAATACTTACTACAATATTATATACAACATTTTTAATTATAAATTTTAGTGATATTTCTAGTGGGGAAATTTATACCTTTATTCACAGTTCTATATTTCAACAGTGCAATCACCTACTCTGGGAATCAACTTACTCACTGTCTATACAGATATAAATTTTCCAACTAGAAATGTCACTAGAACGACTTAGAAATCGGAGTTAAACCATTCTGTCAACTGAAAGGCTGATATATAGATTGTGTGATTCTCATGTATTTAATTTTTTTTATTTTATTTTATATTTAATTCTCATATATCTAATTTTAATAAATTAGTTAAACTAACTTAAAATTTAACTATTTTTTTTAATTTTTTGAAATCACTATCTACATGTATGTGAAATTATCAAAGTATTATTATTGAACAAAAAATTTTAAAAATAATTTGCTATTTCATGATAATAAATATGTAAAATATAAAATCTTATAACTCCAGCAGAATAAAATACCAATTCAAAAGGACCAACTTGTATATAAAATAAAATTATAAAATTATAATGTAGAACAAACTATTTTTTAATTAGTGAAAAGATGCAATATAATTCAAAACACTTCTGACTTAGATTTCAAGCTAAAAATTATTTATGATTCCAGTGGAAAATTCAATTTTTTTTTAAATCAGACACAATAGAAAAAAATTTAAATTCAAGAAACGGAAATAAAATAATAACATGTTTAAATTCTCATTTGATGAAATGTAATCAACGCTGTTTTACCAATTAACTTTATTAATGAAGATTGCTATCATCTTACTAGAACATCAAAATTTAAAACCCATTACAAGTAATACTAAAACGCAATTTTGTATCAATATTCTATTAAAGAATAATTAAATTCAAATATAAACACAATAAAGTAGATTTTTTAAAGGTTAAAATTGCAATACTTAAAGAAAGGAAATAGGATTTAAGTTAATAGTAAAAGAATGAACTTTTAATTTTTTATTGAATTTAAAAGATTGTATGTAAAGACAATACTGGAGTCTAAAAACTGGAGAATTTAACTATGCGAATGAATTTACATAAACTATTTTAATCGAAATATGGTACTTTCTCAAAGAAGCCATTAAACACATATTTTAATAAATAATACAAATACACATTAAAATACACGTTTCCTTATCAATAGAATGAATTTGACATTTATATTACAAAAGATTTTAATCAATTTCAGCTAGATGTATGAATCAGGGACTGCATGAACAATGTTGAATGAAAAAAGATTAAATGAAGCCTTCGTTGTGTTATAACTATTTTATATTATTCAAATATACAAAAATCACGATTATAAATTGGTATGTATATATATTAATATATATTGATTGTATATGATTATTCACTTAACGAAATAATCATAAAAACTTTATCAACTCAGAAGCTGTTGATATAATTACAGTGACATTAAATAACCCGGCCGATTATCAGACATATGAAATATGCTCATATATTTTATGTGTAAGATGAGTCATCATGATGACTGTTGTACAACTCATTTATTAAAATAACCACCATTATTTCAAATGAATGATTACTTTAAAATACTGGATTTTTCAATGATTGATAATTTGTCGAATGCTACAAATTTTAAAGTGAACATATTTGTCAAACAAGAGAAATAATACATGTTCAATACCAATTCTTTTTAATTTTTCTGTCAATATGAAGCTAATGGATGTTACTTTCTGATAATTCACAGATAAACTTTATGCAGAAAAATCTTATATAAGAAATCAATGACAAAAGGTGCTGTTGGCCACACATGAGTAATCACAGAAAAGTATCTAGTTATTTGTAAAAAAAATTAAATAAAGCAAGAAAAATGAATAGATACGAAAACATTCGATCCAACTCTACATAATAAAAAATAAAAATTACTTACACACGATAAGCATTGATAGTTTTTGACATAATTTTCAAATACACCAAGATGTTTTCTCTTCGGTTGTCATTTCATCAATCTAGCGAAGGCACAGAAACTTTTCCAGATACACAAGAAATGTCTACTATTAATGCGATATTTACGAAACAGTTGTATTACAATAAATTACGAACGGAGGAAAAAAAATATATTACAAAGAAAGAGAAACCTTCGCGATTAGGACTTGCAAGCGAAACTAAAGCAAGAGTGGGGGGGCAAGCCTACGAAACTTGTGAAAAATCCGAGATAGCTAGTCACCGTTGTAGTTCAGGAACCCAACTAGGAGTGGCGCTAGTGTCACTACCACTGTATAATTATACAAAATATCAATATATTTCATTATACATAAATATAAATAAGTAATATAATTCACGAAAAAAAAATCATAAAATATAAATATTTGAAATCTATCAAATCATTTTAATAAAACTCTTCCTCAAGATGTAAAACCAATAACTTATAAATCGACATTTAATCACTATATTCTTTAATTCAATATGACTAAATAATTTATAATTATACAATGTAAGATAATTTGATAACGACTAAAATTATAGCTTATTTACCAATTAAAAATAAACGCCAAAATATTTAGACGAAACAATAGAACTTACAAACACTGATATTCAAGAAAACAATGCAATTATTTACATTTAAATATCCCCATTTAATTTCAAATCATGCTTTAACTAAATTAGTTAAACTAGCTTTAAATTTAACTATTTTTTTAATTATTAGAATTTTCATTAAGAGAAGTGATTATCCATGTTAATGTTACCATTACATCGTGTAAAAATATATTTAAACATTCTGAGGAAGTTATTCGTAATATACTGATAGTTCAACATTGAATAGAAAAGAAAACGATTGTTGAGAATCCTAAAGATGGTTGCAAAGTTAAAATTCAAAAAGGGGAGCTAACAGATTAATTTTTTGGGCGGCTTCAGTCCGATAGCTTTTTGTGTATATGTATATGTATATATATATATATATATATATATATATATATATATATATGGTAAATGCACCAGTAGCTGACATGTTTAAAGAAATTTCTTTGAACTTTTACGTGTTAAAACTTTAATATTGATGTTATTATATTTTTCATGGATTCATCTTATATAACTATTTCTCACCTTACCATCATATATTTCAAATTCATCTATATTTAAAGAAAAATTAAATTAAGAGAATAGTTTTGTTGTACCAGCAGCTCATATTGTTTGATTTGTAATGTTCCTATAGTTGACAGGGATGAGAACAACGATGTAATAAAGCGAAATTTCATATTATTTATTTTAATGTTAACAAAAATTACATTTAACTTATTATAAAACTTAACTTCTTGCGTTTCCCGACTTAGATGTATCAATAAATGGTCACTTTACTGTCAAGAACCTTTTCACATTGAACGTGAAAAAAGTATTTTTATTTGAGGTTGAACACACTAAGAAATCAAAGATATTTTTCACTTGTTTGCATTATTAATTTTTAACTAAAATATTTCTTGAAATGTATCAATGTTATAAAGGCATCCCCCATGTGTTTAATCTGAACAAATACGTTATATATTCAATTTTACTTTTTTACAATTACATTTTTAAGTACCAAAACAAAATTCCCTATTATTTAAGTAAACAAAAATACTCAATATTCATATCGTAAAATATTCAGTATATTGATTATTCTGTTTTAACTTACAATTTAATATTTATGAATTAAAAATTAGCAGAATTGCGTACATTAGATACTGAATTAAGTTTGGCAACACAAGAAAGAGTAATTCAAAAAAACTAATTTATTTAAAAGATAAATTAACTATCATCAGTCCAAGAAAAAAATAATTAGCTTCAAATTTGAGGGGGGGGCGGAGAAATAAAAAGGGAAGATAAACAAATTTAACATAAAAAACCCCTGAATTCATTTTGAATAATTACATGTTAGAGGAAACCTACTCGATGGATATTTTACAGAAGATATCAATTCCTAACCTGAGGTGTCCATCTCCCTCTAAGGTCGATGGTGCATAAACTTCCCTTCCCTCCCAAGATATTTTATTTCTCTCCTCTTCTTAAAAACAGTGAAAGCATTAGTAGAACTTAAAATTTTATAGATCATATACAATTACACTTTCTACGGTCTCTTCCATGGTTTCCTCTCGTTTAATTCCGAAAATTCATAGCCCCGTCAAAATATGCGCCCCCCCTCGAAAATTTTGATGACGCAACTCTGGATACCCCTGTTCATAGCTGCTTCGGCTTCTATATTTTCCCTTAATATCAACGGACTAATTAGCAATGGATTTAATTTTTTTTCTTTTTGAGAGGAGGGGAGAAGGGGTAGAAAGCTTAGTTTATCTTAAAAACGGTAATTAAAGAAATAATAATATTTTTTGGGATAACATTTTTATAATTTTTCTTGTCATATGGTTACATTTAGAAGCTGAAGTATCTGTATTATAATTCAAAAAGATAACGCATAGGAGATAATTTTATTGAATGTTTAATAGTTGACCGTTGCATTATAAAGGAAGGAGATGGTCCGGGGTGGCGGTCATAAATAGGCTAAATGTGGTAAAACTATTTAATTGAAAACCGACGTTTCGACCCGACTTTGCAGGTCTTCTTCAGGGAGGTGTGTTCAGCTAAGAGTTTCACTTAGAACTGACGATTGATTGACGAACTGATTGAGTTCTAAATGAAACTCCTAGCTGAAGACGACCTGCAAAGTCCGGTCGAAACGTTGGCTTTCAATAAAATAGTTTTGCCACTATTTAGCCTATTTATGACCGCCACCCCGGACCGTCTCTTTTCTTTATAATGCAACGGTCAGCCATTAAATATTCAATATGACTCAAAAACCACGGGGCCAACAACGGCCAGATAAAGTTCTAAGTGAAACTCCTAGCTGAACACACCTCCCTGAAGAAGACCTGCAAAGTCGGGTCGAAACGTCGGCTTTCAATAAAATCGTTTTACCACTATTTAGCCTATTTATGACCGCCACCCTGCAACATTTCCTTCCAAGATAATTTTATGTTTCAGATCACTTATAGAAACAAATGTGAACCAGTGAACAAGAACAAATTCAATTGAGGGGGGTTCAGTCCGAACCCCCCCTCCTTGAATTTGCTACTGATCGGAACAATTTTCCTCAAGAAAAATATCACCTTTTCCGATGGCTAGTTTACGCAAAAGCAGATCAAGCGCTTATTTGGGGCAGCAATATGAATACAATTGTTTATTTAGATTATACTGAACAAATAAGTATAAAAAATAAATAAATTAAGTATGCATTAACAAAATGGTTTATTTATTTAAGATAAAGCAATGATTGGTTTGTTGATAGGAGCTAACTATCCGAACACAAACGAACTTTTTCTCATAGAAGATAACTAAAACAGATTCTTGTGAACTAAGAAAACAACATAAGTAAATATTTATTTTCATAACAGAAATGTGTGTTTATAATAATACTAGCTGTACCCGGCCATGCGCTGCTGTGGTTCAGAATGGCAAAATGGAAAAGAAAGAAAATAGAAAACACATATGAGTAGATTAATAGCAAAGGACATCTGTCATTTTAAAAAAGTTGAGAAAAAAATTTGTCTGTAGCATTAATTAATTAAGCTTCAATTTAAACTAATCCTAATTTTTTTTTCCAGATTCAACTTGAATACCCTTAAATAAAACCACCAGAAACAGTTTGAATTGAACCCACAAACAAAAATGGACTTTCTCTGCTTTCTGAAAATGACAGTGATCTGTCTTTGTTTCGAAGTCATTCATTTAATTTTATTATTAATATTTTTTTTTAAATTTAATGTATTGTTTAATGTTCAACCTTGTTTTGGTTATTTTATGGTAAATAAAAATGAAAAATGTTCGTTTGTTCAAAATCTTAATCTCGGAAAGTTCTTCACCGATTGCCTTGGAATTTTGTCAAGAAGTTGCATTCAAATACGCGCGTGGTTTTATATACCTACTGTTATAATATATAAGGTAAAAGTATATATATTTATTAAAAATGCACAATATAGTTGGATGTAAAAACAACACATGCTGTTCAAAATATTTTAAGATACCGTTTCAAAGTTAAACATTTTCAAATATCAATGCCTTGCAATTGTGCCATATCGCTTCCACCTCCTTTAAAAGATTTCGCATACCCCTCCTAAGATATTCGATTGCCCGCTTTTTCTTAACAACTCGATTAAATATAGTTATAAAAACTGTAGTGGAAAAAAAATACACCTTGCGGCAAACAACACAGCCTTATTCTAATGTAATGTTAAAAAAAATAATTTATTAAAAATTAAAATAAACTAAAATTTATGAAAAATTGATTTATAAAAGGAATCAAGAACATAAACGGTGATAATTATTACTCAAGCGTTCAATATTTTTAAATAATAGCATATGAAATATTTGAGATGTATCATACCACTTCCCGAATACATTCGAGGAAAATATAAATTTGAATTTAAAGAAGATATAATAAATAGTATTGACCTACGTAAATAGAATCATATCACTACTTCAAATGATAATCTGAATTACTTCTTTAATTATAAAATTTTCTATTAATCAACAACCAAAAAAAAGGAGGGGGGAGGAAATGGTCTTTTCCGAAGAAACAGTAGTAAATGTTTAAAACTCTATATCTCTGCAACGAATCGTCCGATTTCGATGATTTTTGTTTTATTTTGTAGGAAATTCGGGAAACTTTCAAATCAATATGGATATTATCCATCAAAAATTTTGTACTTTTATAGTTATTGGCAAATACAATTTTGAATTGATTATAACATTGCAGCTTGTTTTCGGGAAAGTACAATATGTTATAAATTGAAAGGGTTTCAAGGGGAAGACTTTGGCCAAGTTTCGTTAATGTAGTTCCAGCCATTTTGGCGCAAAAATCTATAGCGATTTTTTTTTACACATAAGTAATTATCGTAGGACGGATGTGCTATGCCAAAAAGCTTCGCGGGAGTGTACGCAACAACTTCCCAAAGTTTCATAGCTATCGGATGAATGGTTCAGTAATGCATAAAGAACAAACACATATATTCATTTATACATATATATATAGAAGATAGAAAGATAAAAGACGAGAATCAAACACCTGACTGTAGTCCAAACACAGGTGGCAGCATAGTAGTATTTGTTCCCCAGCAACCTGTCACCACAATGAAATCCAGCAGGTAACCCCCA